GGGGGCAGAAATCTCACTCACAATTCTTGCTACTTCACACACTATCGAAACAACTTCTAGTGTCAGTCTGAAAGAATACACCCTCACATTTTTCAAATAGCAATGCATTTGCCCAAAACCACAATGCATGAATCCTAGGGTTGAGGTCTTTCAAAGCATTCTCCATTGAACTCCACCACAAAACCCCACCCAACCACCTAAACTGAACCAGATTTTTTGAAAAACTTTGAAATTGAAAGGACCCCATCCCAATGTTAAAGTCAAAGATAAACTACAATGACTTATCCAGTGTTTTGTTTTAATTTTGGATTAAATAGAACTACATCAGCATCACTTAAAATTGTTCACACAAAATATCACATGGATTGACTGAGGTCAGCACAACCTCTCACGTGCTTATTGATGTGAGGAACTGTCAAAAGTTCTCAGCGATAAGCTAAGGAAAATGTTTATGTTGTTTATGTTTATGTTATGCGCTAAAGATGTTAAAGAAGTATAGAGTAATAAAATATTCAATAAAACCAACACATGGCAAAAATGCAGCAATCAAGTGCTCTTATGAAGTGGCAAAGTGTTTAAGCCCACAACATTTTTAATTAAGAAAAGGTTATGGCTTAGTAAAATGCTGCCTCACTGGAAGCAAAGTGTTTGTGGAAATTATGCTTAGTGGAAAAGTGAATGCCTTTTCCTGAATCCTTTAATGATGGACCCATCCCTTCCTCTGCTGACAGGGAGGGAGACACTGGGGAATTTTTCACTGGCAGACCTAAGTTATTCTAATCAGACCTGCCTGAGTGTCTCTTCAGAAGTCATTGTCTCCTGGATAAGAGCAAACAACCAGGCAATGAAACTTCACATCCAGGCTTATCCTTAAATAAGCTTGCAGTTCAGACATACATAGACATCAAAGAGAATAATTTGCAAATTCCAACAGGTTGTTTCAGGGGTAAAACCGACATAAATATTACTTATATGCAATGCATAAGAAAGTGCATATGAATTTAATTTCCACATTCTCAGATAAAAGTTCCAGGTTGCAAAGTATAAGGCAATGTAGAGCAATGTATCCATGTAATGAGAAGTGGTGGGATTAACAACAATGACGAAAAAGATCAGAAAATGGAGAATTATGAAGTAAATAAGCTGCTTAAGCTTCTCTGATAAGACAGGATGTGTGTAGCTGGGAGGTCAGAAGGCACCGCTTCCTTTGAGGGAGCCTGGGAACCACAGCTCCCAGTCTCCAGTCATGACCCAGAGAAGAGAAGGGACAACAAACCAATATGTTCCCCCTAATGGTGTAACCTCTTTGTCAGATAGAACTCATCTCCTCATAGATATGAACACTATCCTCTTGAGTCATTAGACTTTTCTGTGCTTTCAATTCGTCTGTAAAATGGCAAGACAATGGCTCCATCTGCCTGGCATGACAGCATGAGAGTTAAGACAGTATTTGCCTTCAAAATGGTACCATAAAAATTTAATAATCAGCCAAATCACTATGAATTCTTCAATGAGACTGCTGGAATACTCTCTGCACAGTCTCAGACAGTACTGTTTAAGGCATTCCTAAAGGGGGTAGAAGGGTGAATGGATGGGAGGTAGAGACAATAACCTGAAAGCGCCAGGGGGAGAGGAGGAATCTTGCTAAGCATTCCTTTCTAATCCACCATAAAGATACCAAAGAAAACACTAGCCCGAAGGTGCCGTGTACTAAGACAATAATATAATCTGTTTCTTTGCTATGGTCTGTTACTTAATATGTGCTTTGGCATGAGAGAATGCAACCACTTATTATTGAATTGGGTTCCTTTGAAAATGTATTTCTTATCTGCTTGTATGTACTATGTATGTTTAACCCATCCAGAGAAAATCAAAAACTTCCTTATTTTTGCCTTCTATTTTGCCAAAAGTGAAACAATGTAGGCAGATAAACTCCACAGTATCTTGACATGATAAAGAGGACAAGTCAAAGGTGCCCTCTTTATCATGCTTTAAAAGTCTGGGAGTTGCTACAGGGTCATAACAAAACACTCCCAATTTATATGATAACTCTGCTACTGAAGCCAAGGGCAATCCATTTATAACACGGGTCTCAGATAGCAGAGAACTTCCATATTTATTTTCATTCAGCTCGGCAGATCAGAGGGGAAAGAGCTGGTTGTAATCTGTGATCTGCCTCTGCCCTGATAGACAGAGGATGAGTAGCTAGAGCTAGGACAGCATGCAGTGAGAGAAAGAGCAGACACAGTTGCTGTTACTGTGTTACTGTGAGAGAGGCAACATGTGCTAGAGGAACTGTGGGCTACCGGATTCATTCCTCCACAAGCTTGTCTCTCACAGTATGGGGGCGACTGACTGCTCAATGGCAGCACCTGGCCCTATGCTTTCCCTTTGTCAAGATCTGACTTCACTGGATTACCATCACAACATCCACCAGCTGTCCTATATGCAGACCCCCCGCCCACACCCTCACTCCCTCCTAGCCAGCTTCTCTCAACCCATTCCCTACCCCCAGTCCAATCGCCCCAGCTGGATCTCCTCTGAATGACACCCCCTCAATCTGCCTAATTATCTTTCCTCTGTCCATACTGCTGTAGCACTCTTCAAGCAGGGTGGAGCTGAGGGGCCAAAGGCTGTTCAACTACACTTCCTGACTGCTCACCTAGAAATTACACTTTCAGTGACACTATGAACTCTTCATTGTCAAGTTCAAAACTCTGTGGCATTGTAAGATTATGAAGAATATTTATTGTGTATCAAAGAGAAAAGCCTTCCAAAAATTTGTATTAAACCATTTGTAGATATGTTTTTAAATATAACTTTTAATAACATCAAATTTTACTGTATTATATCAAATAGTAAGAAATAATGGAAAATGGCAGTCGGTGCCAAGATCTAGAGCTCCACACAGACAATTAACCTATTAAAACTAATAACAGTGACTTTTACTGAGTGACAGAAACAACTAAAACTGGCATTACAAAGTTGGTTACCTGAGAAGGAAACCACTATAATCAGAGACATATAAAGAAACAAACAAGATTTCATGCACTTTGAAGCTATGCTGTGAAAAACAAGACAGAGGATACATTGGTTTTGGAACAGTGTCTGGAACAGTAACAATGGCACCTGTCACAGACACTGTATTACAGTCACTTGAGAATCTGTTTTCCTGTAAGAACAACAAATAGCACAGTAGCTGGACAACAAGGAAGCACAAGTGAACTTCTCTACATGAAGTGATGTGTCCTGTTCTATGGAACAGCTTTGCTTTCTATGAAAGTGCTTTCTACTGTTTTTCTAAATTCCTTTCAAATGCCAAAGCACATATCTGCCTCTGCATTTTGTTTCTTTCCATTCTACACTGGCCTCACATTGCTGTGGCCTTTCTTCTCTGCCTTCCTAAACCCTGTTCTAGTTCTGGTGCCAGGTTACAGCCAGGTATCTGGTGGAAGAAAGGATCTTTTCTCCTATTTTGAATCTCCTGTTTCTGTAGGCTCCCAGGGGAAGGGGTGGGGTGGCTCCACTACTCATAGGACTGGTCTGACCACTCTCATGTGGCCATGCTCCACTCCACTGCTCTCCCATATTATGGAACGTTTTCTACATTTGATGTCCCCTTCCATTGGAAAAAACAAAAAACAAATATCTCAACCTTGTCACTCTTAATGATTTTTGGTACTCTACCAACTTAGTAATTACACATTCACCGCTCCCACATAACTAACATATGAACACACACATGTACACAACACAAAGGATCAGAGGAACAAAAAAAGGCAACACAATCCCTGTGATGTGATTACACTTAATCTGGAGATTAATACACTTAGACCAAACACTGGGAGTGTTGTGTTGATTTTCACTCATAGTAGACTCAAAGTAAATTATGTGATCGTGAAATGAAGTTTAAAAAAATCAGTCCAAATAAAATTACACATTTACCCAATAAAAACAATCCTGGCTATAGTTAATGATTGAAAAAATGTGGGTAGTGATTACTAGTTTCACTTGCAGTTAAGTTACACATTGACTAATGTGTAATTACTTCTACTGGGAGTACAAGAACTTTATACAAGTGCAACGTAATGCACAACCATACACACAGTATATACATGTGTGGGGATGTGCTTTTGCCTTGAACAAGTCTATTCAGGGTATTGGATTAACTTAGGTCCATGCAGTAGGGTAAAGTGCTACCATCTCCCATAAAAGAGTAAATTTACTGTTTTGGAAGGATGCAGCTGGCAAACAAGGAGTTTCGTTTTAAAAGTATCTCCTCCATCTGACCCCCCTCAGGCATTTTTCCTGAACTATAGGGTTTTTTCTTTCCTTTAAAATGACCCCAGGGCAGGACACTGTAGACTATTTAACTTGACTATTGTAATAGGTTCCCACACAACCCTCCTCATTTGAAAAACAAAAGCTTTGACAAAAGATGCAAAACCTCTAAACTGCAGGAATAGGCAGGACATTAAGACAATTAGTTTAAAAAAAACTATTAAAAAATTTCTAAAGCTATTTAAGGAATTTAAATAAATATAAATTGCTTTAAAGCTGAGGCTACCTTGAATAAAAGCTTAATGGTGGAAAAAAACTGAGCAAAACACACAAAGAAACGCTCCTTTGGCAATGTGCAGCAAGATGTTGTGATTTATGACTGAATGAGCTCCTTAACAGGTGCAAGAGATGAGTGTGTCGTCCATGCATTTCCAGACTTGTTGATGCTCATCTGTGCAGGTCTAATCAATTTGTTCTATCTTTCACCACCGTTATGTGGGCGTTATTATCTAGACAATAGGTAATAACAGGGGCATTTTTCGCTCCTTGTTTAAGACAGAGAAAAACACCGGAAATCTGCCAGGTTATACGCAAAACTGTTGGTTTCGAGCATTGGCAAATGGGAGCTATCGCTCTTTGCGCCGGTAGGTTTTTTTTTTAAAAATGTTGCACTTACATGCATCGAAAAGGTGAATCTAGGCATGTCCCTCCATTTTCACATGGCCTGTGTTGATCCACGCAACGGATTCCTGTGGAAATCAAAGAAAGATGTTAAAAAACAACTTGTTGTCCACAAATCATCATAACCTAATTTACATAACTAATCAAAACTCGCTGATAGTGATTTCTAGACAACAGTCCTTTGCCACTTGTTACATCTTGTAGACACACCCGCACATGTCCACTAAAAGAAGATACATTTTTCCGTTTC